ATCTACTACTGGTTATGTATTTACACTTGCTGGAGGGGCAGTAAGTTGGTTATCTAAGTTGCAGACTGTTGTGGCTTTGTCTACTACAGAAGCTGAATACATGGCAGCTACTGAGGCATGCAAGGAAGCAATCTGGATTCAAAGGCTATTGGAGGAACTTGAGCACAAACAGCAGACTACTACTGTGTATTGTGACAGTCAATATGCTTTGCATATTGCAAAGAATCTGTCTTTTCATTCCAGAACAAAGCACATAGGCATACAATATCATTTTGTTCATGAAGTAGTAGAGGAAGGTAGAGTGGATATGCAAAAGATTCATACCAAAGACAACATAGCAGACATAATGACAAAGTCAGTCAATATTGATAAGTTTACATGGTGTCGATCTTTATATGGCCTATTAGAAACATAAACAACATATAATTGTAATGTATTAGGAATGTGTGAAAATATGATTAACTTAATCATAATCATTAAGTGAGAGAATTGTTACGTGAGAAGTTCCACATCGGTGGGAACTTCAAAGGTAGGACCCCTTCTTTGTCTATAAAAGGCTAGGGGTCCACCAATTCATATATCCCAAATCTTTTCTCCCTCTCACTCTTGTACTACACTAAGTTCTTGTATTTAGTAGTAATAGTTTCTTATTTTGAGGAGTGAATTTTAATAGATAGAGAGGGGTAGTGTAATTTTTCTTCTGTGATAATTATATATTGTCTTTATTATCTCTTTTTTAGCTCTTATTTTTCTCATCTTTATTTTAGTTGTATGTTATTATATTGGTATTCTGTTCCTAACAAAAAGCACTCAAAATCCTTGTTATGAAAGCTCGGGTGGTGAATTCTCAAACATATCATTGCGTTTTTAGGTTCCAAAAACAAACATATTTTCTATTTCTACCACATCATATTTATTGCAAATTCCCCTTGTATACAGATACAATACCTTTTGTTGACTGTAATATAGATATAATATCAGTTACAAACATAGAGCTTATATTATAATTTTATGAGAAAAAATTTTAAGAGGCTACAAGAGATATGTCGAGAGTTTTCTACGAAAAGTTATTATTTATAGACATTAGTATTGTCAGAGAAAGTGATAAGGACCCAATAGCAAGGGAATCGAGCACCATTTCTTAGTTAACTATATATATCCTGGATTTTATATTTGAGGGGAAAAAAACACCTCAAGGAGTTCATACTAGTACTTAAAAACCTCAACACCTTGATAGTGTGTTTGACTTTGCAAGTCAAGAGTTCATAAAAAATTTGCCGAGGACTTTCATCTGTGCTTCACTGTTTCTTTATCATATGATCTGGGGATCAATTTGATAAAAATTTCGTACTTCTTGGCTCCATGCACCACAGTAATTGGCAGGGGAAGGATCTCCATTATTATCATCGGTGGCTTAATAAATCTAATGGCAGGTTTATTATCTCCTTGTCGATCATATAGTTTATCTTTCAACTTTCATTTTCGGTTAATTTAATGATAAAACAAATTATCACTTGATCATTATACACACTGAGGCCTTTCGATGGGCCCAAAAATTAAAGATTCAAAACTTGGAAAGCCCATGCCAAGCTTGAATATGTATGACTCATGATGTTCAGCCAAAAACAATAATTTCGTTAGTACAAAATATGTTTATTTTCGATACACAAATATTAATATATTTCATTATTTATTAATATAGATGATAAAATTATTATTAATAATTTAATTTGTATGACAAAGATTATATTAACAAAATTATTTTAATATCTGGTAATTTTTTTATTTATTAGTATAAAAATTCATAACATTTATACTAACATTAATTTTTGTTTAAAAATATTTATACTAGCTAATAGATTAATTTAGTATTAAATTATTAGTAAATAATTCTTTTAATGTAATTATGTTCCTTCATTGTTTGGAATCTTATTTTTTGGGGAGCGATGTATTTAAAAATACAGTAGAATACTAATAAATATACTCATCCATTACATGAGTTTATTTATATTTTTATTAAGCTACTTTTTAAAAAATAAATAAATAATTATAATTTAAATATAAAAATTATATAATAATATTAAATAATATCAAATATAATTTCATAAAATAAAATTATGAAATATTTTATTGTATACAATATTATTTTGTATATTTTAGATATTTTTTAGTGTCTTTAATTATAAAAAATTTTATTTTATTTATTGACGTTATTGTAAATAATGCAATATACAACTGAGTCACTAAATAAAGATTATGACAAATATAATTCAACGATTATTATTAACTTTTATTTTTTGTTATTGTATAATATATTTTTATTGAAGATTATTTTTGTTTTAATTATTTATTCTTAAAAATACATGATAAGAAGTTTTATCTTTTAAATATATTTTCTATATAATAAATTTTAATTTATATCTTGAGAATTAATATAAAAAATAAAAATATACATAATTAATCATTCTGATTTAAAATAAACTTCTTAACTTATAGATAAGTATTAATTTTTAGAATATAATATTATAAATAAAAATATTAATAAAAATACATTTATCTTAATTTATTTTGTTTTTTATGTATAATTACATGTATCTTGATTTATATCTTGAGAATGAATTTTAAATTTATAAAATACTTAATTTTTTCATTAAAAAGTACTATTTTTTGCTTTTATAATTGGAAAATTTTCTAAGTCTTTCAATATATTACCTTCTATTAAACATAGATTATTGTAATAAAAATTATTCAATTTTTAAAAATATTTTTTCTTTGTAAAGTTGTAACCTAAAAAAAATATAAGGTATAAATTATTATTTGATCTAAATTTTTTTATAATATATTATAAATTTATAATTTATATATTACTTTTTTTTTATTTTGATAAAGTTAGTGTTCTTATAATTAGATATTCACTTGAAGTTGAAATTTTATTATTTTTTATTTAATATTTATATTATCTAAATTTTCTTATATATCAACCTACAAATATCAGACAATAAAAATAAAGGTTTTTTTAAAAAAATAAATAAACTAAAATTTTTTTAAAAAAAATTATAACTTAACTAGTATATAACATATAAAAGACCGTATAATTAGAATATATTAAAACAATAAAAATTTAATTAAAAAATATAAAGATTAATATTTTTTATCAATTAGTAATTCTTATATATATAGATATCCTACAATCATGATTTCACACTTTTATTTTTTAATTATCTATTGTACAGTTCAAATAATTAAAAAAAGTTCATTAATTTATATATAAAGATAATATTTTTCTTGAAAAAGTATGAAAACTATATGAATATAAATTAAATGTAAATATGAATATAATTAACTTAATTAAGATAAAAAAAAAATATAGATTAGTTTAGACATTTTAGTTAAGTTTAACTATAAAAATATATTATGACTATTACAATTTTTATTATTTCCTTTATGCTTGGAAAATAATTATTTTGAATTTTTAAAAATTTAACACAAGATTAGATTAGATTTTATTTTTTGCTTTACACAAAATTAGATTTTTAGTTTAAGTATAATGAGAAATGGGTATTATCTTTTTTAAAGCTTTACTTTCTCATTTTAAATTTATTAAGAAAACTCATTTTGTATTGTATTGTGTTGAGGAAAAGATCAAATAATGAATAAAAACAAAAGTGTGAAAAACATATTAAAACACAGGAAAAAATATACAAACAAAAGAATAAGGAGATAAAAAGACTATTATTTAATGTGTTTTTTTGTTAGGGTTTATTATTACATTAAAAAAAAATCAAACAAGAGTGAAAATGCAAAATAAAATAAACATCAATACAAATGATACAACCAAAAGTCTCTTAGGATGTATGTTAAAAAAGAATAAAGAAAGTCTTATGATGTATTTTTTTTCCATGACTTTCTCCTCTCTTTTTTTTTTTCTCTCTCACATTTTTCTACTATTTATAACCCTGTGTCATTTTTATTATTTTTAAAAAATGCTTCATCTCTTCAGTTTTTATTTTTATAATTATTAATCATTTTTTTTATTATCTTATCTACTCTTACAAAAAAAATCTGCTCAATATCATTGATTTTTTTAAAATTTTTCAAACCAATTTTTATCTATTAACTACGAATCTAAAATTTCAAAAAATCTACTCATTTCTATTTTTAAATTTTAAAATTTGAATTTTTCTAAATTAATTTTTATTTATTATCTTAATCTTTTACAGAATATCATTATTTTCAATTTTTTATTTTATTATTTCAGAGTGAAGTCAGTAAAATTAGTTATTCGTAGTTTTCAAGCTCAAAATATAAAATTTGAAGTACATCTACCACATCTTTGAACTTCCACGTGCAGGAAAAAAACCTTTTTATCAATCTAAGCACTTAATCTAAATGAAGAGAAATGATTAGAGTTGTTTCTAGAAAATTTCTCGACAGTGACAAATATTGCAAAATAAAAAGTTTTTGATCAATGTCTATACGTAGATACATCTCAAAAAAGGTCATGAAACTTTACCTTTTTGTTTGTGAGCCATCCTTTTTTCTTTTTTTAATTCTATAGAATGAGATATAGTATGAAAGTCAAGACTTTTAAAAATTCAAAAAAAATTATAATTAAATGAAACAAACTATCTATGTCTTCTAAAACAACTAGTATTAAACAATATTTGGCTGATTTTTTAAATAAAATATTCACATATTTTATAAAATAAAATTCGTTACATTATTAAAAATAATATTTTTTAAAATAAATTAAACTAAAATATGCACTAAAAATCCATTTCTTTAAGATTATTTTCATGAAATAATTTTTTTAAATAATTACTTTTTAGATTTTTATACTATTTGTTTAAGATTATGAAAAATCAAAAACTAAATATAATATAATTTTAAATTTTTTAGAGAAAATATTTAAAATAAAATTTAAAAATTTAAAATATAATTTCTAAGAATGACTTCTGTTATGTGTATACATATATAGAATAAAAATAACGAAACGAGTCATATTATTGTTAAACCAAAAATTCTGAATGATAGTGTTTGGACGGAAAACCCGAAAGTTAAGATTTGATAAGAGTCTTCGGCACTTGCGTTGCAGTTGCAACCCCTTTTCTCGGACGCTCTCTCCCTTTTGTTACCATCTCAAATTCGCATCCTTCTTATTATATAATTTCTGCTATAATTCCTCCATTTCCATTTCCTCACTCTAAATTTCGAATCTACTCTGGTTTTCCATACCCGGTTGCCGTTAATTTTCGTGGAATTGATCGGTTGACCGATCGTCTATAACAGCTTAATCTATAAGCCATGAAGAGTGTTGGGTCGTATAACGATTGGCCATATTACTCTTCACCCCCTTCAAATTTATCAGCTTTTGCGGCGCCGTTTAGCGTGAATCGTTCCACTTCAAGTGAAGTTTCGGCTCCGTTCATGGAATCAGCTGATTCCGTTGATGCTGTGCCCCCAATTCACTTTCGATCTTACGGGTACGATTTCTTTTCAAAACCCGTTAGAGAATTAGATTCTTCAAAGTCATATGGGTATTCAGGGTTGCAAAGTGGTTTAGACTCTTCCAGTGCACAGTTCCCTCATCTTGGTTTGCCTTCTAAGGATGCCTTCTCTTATGATCATAGCACAAAATCAAGTCTTGTTGAAGCCCAACCTTACTACCCTTCCTATGTTTCTTCTGCAATTCATGATCCTTCTTCTTCAGTGGCACCTAATCATTGGTCTTCCTCTTCTGGGTTTCCCTCCTTGGATGGGACCTCTCTTGGGGATTATGTTAACAAGCCACCTGAGTTAAGGTTTGCTACTCAAAGTTCTCTCTTGTGGAACCAGTTTCCAGAGTTCAACAGCCATGGTAAAGGTAAACATGTGGGAGTTGGGAGTAGTTTCTCCTCAAAGCAAACGGATGTTACTGGTTCGGTTGTTGAAGAAAGTGTGAACCAAGGTGTGATTTTTTTCCCTTGTCTTGTTTTGGTGCTTTTCAATTAATTGTATTCATTGTGGGTGTGTTTGTAAGTGGATTTTGATAGTTAATTATCGAAACTATCTTATGTTCTGTTATTGAAAAAATAATAGTTAATCAAAAGCAAAAGAGTTTTTGAATATTTGAACAGCCCATTGAGAAACTTTTGAGCAATCTTAGTGGAATGCATTATATATTGAATCAGATTAATTTTATAATTCTAGGGGCCTGTTTGAAATAACATGTTAACTTATGGGAAACAGCTTATGACTCATAAGTTGTTTTCGGCTTGTTTCAATAAGCTTCTTGGTATAGCTTATTAAAATAAGTTGTTTTCTGCTTATCCTAATATGTTTCATTATTAAATTTATGACATAAGTTATTGTTTTAAAATAAGCTTACTGAATAGAAGCTTAAATAAGATGTGTATCCAAATGTCATCCTAAATAATGTAAGGAAGTCTAGACAATCTAGGCTGTTGAGACTGAAGATCTACAGAAGATCAAAATAAGTTTCAAAACTATTAAGAGAACACTAAAGTAAAATAAGAAAAAAAAAATATAGTAGTTGGATGTTGCTAAGTAGGATATTAACTTTTTCATCTTTTAAGTAAAAAATAAGTGTATGTTTTTTTTAGTAAATGCAGGATATCAAGATGTGAAGGACTCCAATAATATTGATTGGGAAAAACACAGTGTGTCTGCAATTGCAAATCAGTTGGATGATAAATCTTGCTTGTGGGGAACTTCCAAAACCGTGCCAGTTGAATTTTTAGGTAGGTCTGTGATGCAGTCCCCTTCAATGTCTATAGAAACTCATCAAGAGGCCCCTTTGAAAACAGTTGTAGATTCAGGTTATAATCCCTTGTCATACACTGGTTCATATGATAAACACTCAAGGCAAGGTGATAAACCATCAACAGTTCCTTCAATACCTAAAACAGGGTTAACTACAGATTTGAATGTTGGCAATATTATTGTAGATGGAGACATTGGGCACAATAATTTCTATAATTCAAAGGAGGCTTATCACATGCCTAGTCCTGGAACTGGTGGTTGCTTCGATTTAGGTAATCTCCGCATGCATCTAGAGAGAAATGAGCCTTCCTCATCAAACAATGCAATGATTTCTGACAAGAATGTTTCAAGGGATGTTGTCGATTATATGTTTAAAGGAATACATGGATTTCAAAATTCTCGTGCAAACATGGATAATTTAAGCTTGAGACTTAGTGCTATTGAAGATGTTAATTCTGTTGAGAAATCTTTTGAGGGTGGTGATCGATGCAATCCTGCTGTAGATTCACCTTGCTGGAAGGGAGCTTCTGCTGCTCACTTTTCTCATTATGAATCTTATGAGGCTCTGACTCCAGAGCATGTGCACAAAAATAAACATTGCTTTGGTTCTGTTATTCAGGAGCCCCAGAATTGTCTGCTTGATACAGAAAATAATGCAAAGAAATCATATGAAAATTCAAACAGATATCAAATGCATTCTGAACTTGTCTGTCAGGAAAACGGTTCTGCAGGTTCTCCCAGGAAATTTTCAGTATCGAAGTTTGCATCTCAAGATTGCAAGTCAGATGGTTCTGTGAATGTTGGACCTTTTCAAACTGAGCCACTCTCTTATTATGGCCTTCAATATCTGGATGATATTACTGAAATGAAGGAAAATAGTGTGCCACCAGCCAAGCCAGCTGATTGTGAATCTGAATCTTCTCACACAGAGCATCAAGTTGTAGATGAAAATGAATTGATGTCTCAAAAACAAGATGCTTCATGCATAGGTGATGCAGATGCTGGATGCAATGTGAATAAGAGCTATGAATCTAGTACATTGCACACTGCAAATCATGCCTTGTCTTCTTCAGTAATAGATACAACTACTGCACCTGAAAAATCAACTGGGAAAGTATCAACTCAAAATTTAAATGTCCAAATGTTGGTTGATACAATGCAAAATTTGTCAGAATTGCTTCTCTGTCATTGTTTAAATGGTGGCTGTGAATTGAAAGAGCGAGACTGCAATGTCCTTAAAAATGTCATCACTAATCTTAACAAATGTGCTTTAAAGAATGCTGAACAAATTGTCACTGCACAGGAAAGTCTTTTTGATCAGCCAGAAACTTCTAGGTGTGCTGAAGAATCATGTGCACTTCAACAGGTATGTGATTATTTCTTCTACTCAATAACAATGGCCTAAGTTACTGAAAATTTCTATAATCTGGAATCTGGATACAATTTTGGGAAGAGAATAGAATTGGTTTCACTGTGTCAAAGACGCTGTCCTCTGAAGACAGATTCTGAGTCAATTTTGTGGGCATATAGTTCAGTTTAATTTTCAAATTTATTTTTATTTGTTTCGTGGATCTTACTTAGAACCAATTTGTCAAGAACCCACCTCATTGTAAATGTAAATTAAAATTAAGTCAGTAAAAATTAATTTTCCTTGAGCTATTATTCTGTACAACTTAACAAAGAATAGACATTTATATTGCATAAAATGTAATGACAGAAAAAGATATGCATTGCTATATATGCTGCATATAACAGGTCTTCTAAATTTCTAATTCTTAGTATGTTTAGATCACATTATTTACCCATTATTTTTAGAAGAAAAATAGGCTTATTAGTATTTTTGGTTCCATGATATTGAAGGTGGTATTGCATATTTTATATGCTGGTTAAATTATTAGCCTTGCATTAATATTTTAAATTCTCGTAATGTATTATCAGAGTGCAAGTTTCAACAGACCTCAATTAACCAAGACAGGACCAGAGAGATCTAAGGTTGAGTTTGAGAAAACACTTGTTGCAGATGCCAACCTGCATTTCAGGTCTGGGAAACCAAAGGATGATGCAGAAATGACAAAGGCCGATAACATGACTAAGGTATATCTCATGCTGTGTCATTTCTCTCGATTTACTAATACAGGTTTTCAATTAAAAAGGGGGTAAATTACAATGGAAGGGAAATATTTAATTAATGTGTTGGATTACTTTTGATTTATAGGCTCTAAAGCAGATTCTTAGTGAGAATTTCCATGATGATGAAGAAGTAGAGCCTCAGACTGTATTATATAAGAACCTATGGCTTGAGGCTGAAGCTGCACTGTGTTCTGTCTATTACAGGGCTCGCTATAATCAAATGAAGCTTGAAATGGATAAATACTCTCACAAGGAGATAGGTTGACATTTTTTCTTTATCTCAATATGACATTATAAATATCCTAGATAAATAACCTGGAATTTTTGGTTTGTAATTTTTGTTTAAGCTAATGTTCTGTTATTGTATCTTATATAATGTTGCATACACAGAGGAGGAATCAAAATCTGAAGTTGTTCCAACTTTACGTCAAATTCAGAGTTCTGCGACTAAAGTGCACAATTATCCAAACCCTGATCCTTCTGGCCAGGATTTCCCTGTCTTGGAAGCTACCACCAATCCAAAGGAACCAGCTGATTTGAAATTTTCTGCTGATATTAACAAGCCTAATGGTTTGACACCTGGAGGCAAAGGTAGTCAAAACCTGGATGGCATCATCCAGAATTATACTGTTTCCAGCACAGACAAGGAGGCTAGAAGAAATGATGAGGCTTCTGTTATGGCCAGATACCATGTTCTGAAAGCCAGGGTTGACAAGACACACATTGATACTTGCAATCTGGAGGAACCATCAGACATAGCAGACAAATCAGCACCTGGAGGGAGAGATAATCAAAACCTAGTCGATTTCTGCAAAGACTCTCCTATTCCGGAGAAAAACAAGGCTGATTCCGAGGCATCTGTTGTGGCTAGATTTCATATTCTTAAATCCCGTGTTGACGATTCAGGTTCAATTTCTTCAGATGGGAAACTGTTAAATGAAGTTGGATCTGTTGGCAAAGGAACAAATGACACAACAATTGCAAAAAATGCTACTGAGGGTAAAAGTTTGGACATCCATGTAAATCCTGGAGTGCATCTCAATTCCTACACTGCAGTGGACATGTCAATCCCAAAGGAGTTTCATCTGGATTTGGAGGACAATCAAGAAATTCAGCCTCGTGGAACCTATGAGTTTCAGCTTCCTACTTATTATTACTCTGATGGCTTGGCATCGGATTGGGAACATGTGGAGAAGAAAAGCTTGTAGGCCCGATTTTGAAACCTTAAAAGAGTTTGATGATGTGACAATAAATGTTCATGGGTTATATCATTAGACCTTCCTATTTATCATCATCAGATATGCTTATTGCAGCAGAATTTGGTCTTGTTAAGTCTTTACCGTGTCTGTATATAAATAATATCAGGATTTGTCTTTTATATCTATCTTGTGTGCTTGCTCATTTGCATTTGTTGATAAATAAGTGCAGGTGAGAGTAAGGTTTAAGTTGTCAAATTGTCAAGACCAAATCGTTTCAAGTATTCCGGTCAAGATGCAATTGTTTTTTCTTTTTCAAAGAATATATTGACATTGTTCACTGTGCAATTGGCTAAGTTGATTTTCCATTCACTCGTTCCTTCGTAAACAGCATGCATGGCTAATCACAACCCACCATTGAATTTTGCTTACCTTTGCATGAATTTATAAAGTTGAAGTACTTTCTACTTTCAAGTACTCCTTTATTGGCGTTTGTCGCGAGCTTCATGTTTGTGCATTAGGTGATGAGTTTTCGGTGCAACAAATGTGTGTGTTTTAGGTAATGTGTTTCAGTTGCAACATTTGGAATGGTTTAGCTATTCGAAGGCATTTTAATAACCTAAGTTTCCATAAAAATGATTAAAATATTTCTCTATGGATATAATTGGTTGCTTAAACAATTGGTTAGTCCATAGTTTGACCCAAATTATATGCATTGGGCTTTTACGGTATCATAACAATTATAACTAATTTAACAAAAAGAATGGTATTAACATTCAAATAGTGTTATTTTAATTCTTCGCCGCTCATGTAGATTTTGCTTATTATTTTAATTCTTTTATTATAATTATGAATTCATAAACACTCAAATAGTGTTAACACTCTTTTTAACATCTCTTTCAACTTTTATTTATTTATCTTTTTATCATAGCATACCACCTAACACATTTATCATTCCTCTCTCTTTTCTTTCTTTCTCTGTCTATAGGTGTGGGCAAATCTAAATCCTCTCAATTCTAAATTAAATGCGGGTGTAGTTTTTAATCTAACCTTTCAAATATATTAAAATATATTATTTAATAAAATTTAATATTATATTAATAAAAGTTTAAGAGATAGAATGCTCTGTAGTGAAAATGCCATTGCAAAGGATCTATGCCTAAGTTTAGACACTTCTATGAGTCTTAATTAAGCATTTTCTTTTATTCTTTTTTTTTTCTCAAAGTGTAGACACTTTTATGAGTATCAATAAAATCCTTTTCATTTTACTATTTTGTCTGTTACCATCATCATTGTTCTACTGCTTCACCCCTATTGTCTTCATCAACACGTAGAATTTTTTTTCCTTTTGGTCTTACAATTGAACAAGAGTGAGTTGAAAAAAAAAAGTACTGCTGTTAAATTATCAAAACGGAATCATCAATGAATTATTTAGAAGAATTTAGCAAACATCTTAAATATTGGTGGCAAATTGAATACTTCTAACTAAACTGCTGGTAGTCATTCTTAATATAAATGAATCTAAATTACAAAACTATTATCACAACTGTAAATTAATTGAACATAGCTCTATGAATAAAATGGAAAAAGTTTTTAAGCAGGCGTTTTTTTGTCTGGAGTAAGGGGAGAGGGTTGTGATTTTTGCATGTGACAGGTTTAAACTTCTCCTTACATTCCATGTCCCTCTAACTTTACCACTAAGCTATCTACTGAGGGAAAACAGGTAAGAGAAAACCTTGTGGGCAGTTGAGATTCAAAAACAAAAAGATATGTGAATATCATTATTCATATATATATTGGTTAAATTTTGTGAAACATGATTTCCTTTTATTTTATTGACACCATTGTATTCCGAAAATGAAAATAGAGACTAGCCATCTCAGAAAACATATTGAGTACATAGAGTTATCCCCTATGGTCCAATGAGCCGACTCGAGTAGAGGACTTGCCATTCCAAACGACAGACCTTCAAGGTTTAGGTTTCCAATTAGATCACCATTCAGTCACGATCAAGACCACACCTAATCCAATTAGGACAAACTAATTCACGAGAAATCATGGATTTGAACATAAAACTAGTCTTAAAATGTGACTATCAATTTGTCTGAGATATTAAATCCTTAATCAATCTTAAACTCATTTTTTCCTAATGCATGCACGCTTTTCAGGAATCTAACGAAGTTGCTGTAACAACTAACATGTAGACCCAGCATGTACATTATCTAACACAATTTGTTTGGTTTATTATATTCCCTATTATTCAACTTTAACTACTAATTTGGATTTTCGTGCACTCAAGTCAACTAGAATCGATTTACGCACGTATTTTTCATCCTATCACACGGCGAAATCTTAAGAAGTGGCATAATCAAAGCACTACAATAATAGAGTGATCTAACTTATTCTACTTGCTCTTTCTTATAGCTCCTCACTCACTTTCGTTCTTGACCACCAAATAATTATTATATTCCAGCTTATTGCCTGATCACCTGCCACTAAGGGCAGAATAATCCTCTCAATCATTGCATTTCATGTATAAATAGGCTATGATTATGTCATAAGCTTACTTAGAAGCGAGACAATCTTTCAGAAAAAATGAATGTTCAGACACTTAATTATATATTTATAGTTTTTGTCATATATTTGTTGAATCAAAATGTTCATTCTCAGCTGCAGGTTGGGTTTTACAGCTATTCATGTAGCATGGCTGAGTTCATTGTAAAAGATGAAGTCGGAAGAGCTTTTACTAAGGATCCTGGAATTGTTGCTGGGCTTCTGAGAATGCATTTTCATGATTGTTTTATTAGAGTATGTCATTATATGAATTATCCATCCATTACAGTTAGTTAATAGTAAAATTTTGGTTCTCTTTCCTTGCTAGTCCACCCAACTGGATCAAAGTTACGAACCACTTCATGTTACACACAATGCAAGCTGGTAGTTTATTTTTGCTACGACTACTTAAATAGAGATCATTAACCTTAACCGCATTGTTAATTTCAGGGGTGTGATGCATCTGTGCTTCTTGATTCTACTCCCACAAACACAGCAGAGAAAGACTCTCCAGCAAATAAACCAAGTCTCCGAGGGTATGAAGTCATTGATAATGCAAAGGCTAGACTTGAAGCAATGTGCGAAGGGATTGTTTCATGTGCTGACATAGTTGCATTTGCAGCAAGGGATAGTGTGGAGTTAGTAAGTCTCTACTTTGTTCTAGAACATTTGAAAATATGTTGATTTCAAGAAAATGGTCACCCTATATCATTCCTTGCTTCATGCAGGCTAGAGGGCTTGGTTATGATGTTCCTGCAGGAAGAAGAGATGGCAGAATATCACTAGCTTCAGATACAAGAACAGAGCTACCTCCTCCAACTTTCGATGTCAACCAACTCACTCAACTATTTGCAAAGAAAGGGTTAACACAAGAAGAAATGGTCACCCTCTCAGGTAAAAGCTTCAAGATAATTCTTTTTATGGTTTGCTTATAGCTTAAATTTGTGCATGGCATGTACTTTGTGTATGCAGGAGCACACACCATTGGCCGCTCTCATTGCTCCGCTTTCACCAGCAGATTATACAATTTCAGTAGCACTTCAAGCCAGGATCCAAGTTTAGATCCCTCATACGCAGCACTGTTGAAAAGGCAATGCCCACAAGGAAGCACAAACCAAAACTTGGTTGTTCCAATGGACCCTTCCAGTCCTGGAACCGCAGATGTTGGATATTATATTGATATATTGGCGAACCGGGGCCTATTTACATCTGACCAGACTCTCTTAACGAATACTGTAACAGCCAGCCTAGTGAATCAAAATGCCAGGAATACTTATCAATGGGCAAGCAACTTCGCTGATGCTATGATAAAGATGGGTCAAATCAGTGTATTAACAGGTAACGTAGGAGAGATTAGAACAAATTGTAGGGTGGTCAATAGCTAGCAGTAATGGTCAAGGATTCAAGTACCTGCAACAATAAAGATGTACAATTTCTGTGGCCATGTTCCATCTGGGTTTTCCTGCTTGATTAAAAAGCAAGCTACTTTGCCTTTTTTTTTTTCTTTCTATTTTGGTTGGCATAAACGGCATTCATGTGTCGGTGAGTTTTAGTCCTTTTGTTTACCTTGAAATATATAGCTTGTCACATGTAACAAGAATTTACTCACGTTATCCGAATCAATTTCCTTTGTTATAATTGCAAGGATCATCCAATCACAATGAACCGCTATCAACAACCAACAAACTTTTTTCCAAACCAGACATTGAAGACTGATGCTTTTAGCAAACTACACGTTACGTTCACCTATACATTTCAAAATATTTGAATGCCTTTTTCTCGTTTTGAACTTGTAAATGCAACAAGGATTGTCTTGTCTTTTTAAAACTAATACAATTTAATCCATCAATCTCACCAAAGACTACAAAAATTCCTAGCTCGATGGCCTACCATTTGCAAGGGTTCAGGGACACGAGTCATTAACGTTGCAGTTACGAAAACAACAAATTAACTAAACATACCTAAAGACTAAACAAATGACTCCCAGGAACTAAACCTTAATGTCACAAAGATATATAGCTCTATTGTGATTAAAAATAACAAAATAATATGATCATTGATCATCAAATCGTAACACAAATTTCTGACAGCAACAAAATTTATAAAGTAAACACTACCACATGGACCATAGATATGGTTTGACTACCACAAAATTATAAGGATGGCTCTAGTTCCAAAATCATCCCCCAAAAAAACAACTACAAATAAAACATAAACCGTGATTAAGTAGTGAGCTCCATGATAGCAGCAACGATGTCCCCGTTGTGAGTCTTGAGAGCCTTGACGGCCTTGCTTCTTGACACTCCTGCCTGTGTCATCACCAAATCAATGTCATGAGGTTCAACACCAGTTTCATCAACCTCTTCTTCCTCAGGCTGTGCTCCTGCAGCTGCAGCATCTTGATCTTGTTTTGCCATCACAGATCCCATATCTGGCATCCTGAACTGTTGAGCAGCCTGCGTCTGCAACTGCGAGCTCAAGTCCTCTATTTTTGCCTCCCCAAATATGACATAGGTCTCAGAATTTGGACTCTTGAAGACATCAGGTTTTGAGATGAAAAAGAGAATCTAATGCATAAAAAACAACTTGGTTAAAAGCCATTCATCTTCCAAATGGATCACAGAAGAGAACCATTAGCAACAAATAATGACTCACATTTTTTGTTCTCTTGATCGTGACCCTACTGACGCCAGTAACAGGTTTTAGCCCCAGCTTCAACATAGCTTTTCGACTCTTCTTCTCACTTCTGCTCTGCTTTGAACCCTCGGTAGCACCTGCATCTTAAAATCCATTGATTAAGTAAAAAAAATCAACAGTTATGATGATGCAATTGAAGACACCTAATAAAAAATTTACATTGTATTTTTCATTTTTTTCCCTCAGATTAAGCCCTATAGCTATAAAGAGAGTATAATAAAAAAATGTGTTTTCAGAGTGCGTTCCTAACACTCCTCCAGTCCTAAAATCTGTAACACAGTTATTTATTCGCCAATATAATCAAGTGCACGGAAATATTAGGCAAATGGGGTTAACACATCACGTTCATTGCCAATAAAAATAATCCCTATTACTACAATGGTGGTCTAAAAATCTAGCAAAATGTAATCGAAAGGCTCTTCAGCTCATACACCTAGGAAGAAAAAAGCGCATGTGACAGAAAATAAATCCATTAATAAATGTTAATAGTGGAGCAATAAAAAAAAAACAAAACAAAACGTTGTGAAACTGAAATTAACGATAGGAGGAGGACCTTGAGCGCCGTCTTCTTCTTCGTCGTCGTCGTTGTCTTCATCGTCATCGGCTTCATCTTTGTCGTCATCGTTAACGTCCTCAACAACAGGAGCGTCGTCTTCCTGAAAAAGAAAAATCGATGACGGAAGCGAATGAGAGAGAAAAGAGTAGAAAGTAGAAACGGAAAAGGGAGAACCTGCGAGTGAGGTTTCTTCTTGAGGGTTGAGTCGTCGGCGGCGGGAGCCTGTTGGTCGGCGGCGGCGTCAACAACGGGACCTGGAGACATGGCTTTTGTTCACTCACCACTGGAGGTTGATACGTAGATAGAAGATACAGAGGGGAATACGAGAATCACACTATTTTGCTATTCATTCATTCAATCTCCTCTCTCCCATGTTAAGATATTCCCTGGCCCATCACTTCCTTGGGCCTTTTATGTCATCTCCTCTCCATTCTACTTTTTATAAAACTATTATTTGCCAAAAACTCCTTCTAAAGCAAAATATTTATCCTTGAAAGATAAAAATGTTTTGTATCAAGTATTTTCACTCGAAAATGGGATATTATATTCAATATTTATTTTAATATTTTTTTATAAATTTATAACTTTTAAAAAATAATAATAATAAATTTAATGTGAATTTTTATTTTGATAAATATTATTTTATTTTATTTTATTTTATTTCTAAGGAGAGCCTATGAGTTCAGGAATCACATTGGTCCAAAACCAAAGAGGGAAGTAAGTTGTAAAGGACCTGGTTCAAACTAACTAAAGGATTATAAGAATTCAGGCCACATTTAACAAACTTATCCGTATATTAGTTGGCTTTCCTGAAAATATAATTTAATCTAACAGACTTAACAAGTTTAATTTTATTTCTAATTTTAATATTATATAATTTTTAAAAAAAATATATTTGTCATTCTCTTTATTTTTTAAAAATTTCAACTCTCAAATATATCCTAAGAAAGAATATCCCATAATCAATGTAAAATTTTCATTCCCTTGGAAGTGTAGAGCTCACTAATCAGGTTTTACTTCTTTCAATAGTCACCAAATTCAACATGTTTAATGGATTAATTATTTAATAATGATGCCTAACTTTGTTGATTTCTCTCTTTTTTTTAAAAAAAACCATACACATTCCTTATATCAATTAGAAATTACTCAATGTTGAATTTAACGCTTAAAATAAATAGAAGAAATGTTGGTCTGTACAAACTAAAACATGAAATGATACAAAATGATTAATATTTGAGTTGACATCACAAATGGGATGTCACGTTTCATTAGAAAATGAATCTCTTCATTCTCCTCTATAGCCAGTTTCCTAAGTTACTTGTGTTTCTCTTCCGTGGTGAGTATAGTTTGTGGGGAGGATTGTCATCTTGAAGCCTTGTTGCTTATTGTGGGTTTCTAGGCCTCTTTTGTTTATCCTTCTTTCGCTGTTTTTGGTTTGTTCACCCATGTGGCTCCCTGCCTCTTCTCTTTCACTAGTAGTAGTTTGTTTGTGATTCCAAATGGCGTTCTAATTTTGCATGGCCCTATGGATATGATGTTTGACAAAAACAATACAAGGAATGGGGTTAATGTAATGTCTTATTAGACTTCTTTGGTTGTAAATTCTCAACCATTCTAGATTGAAGGAAAGATCACTCTCATATTTATCATTTACTTCATTGCTTTTGGGTTTGATTATTTTTTAGTTTGGATAAAACTTTTTAGTTTGATTTTCTGGTAGCATATGTTAGTAATTTTGATATCCTAAACATGAATGAAAACATGGGTGTGAGCAGAAATGGTGAAGACAATTAGAAACGGAGGATCGATAATATGACCCATAATGTAATATTATTTTAAAATATAAGTAAATATCAAATAAATTATGTAAAATTTGATATCTACAATCATAAAAATAATATAAAATAGTTCAATAAATAAATAAGTCAATCTTTCATTCTGTGAAAAAGTTATTAAGTAATATTTAAATTTATAATAGTGCCAACATATTCTAACTATATAATAAATAATTTTATTTTTAATTCAAAAAAAATTATATAAAAAATTGAAATTAAGGTGTGTATCATTCATAATTCAACATAAATTCAGGAGAATACCAATATAACTTGCCCAATAATTTTTTTTTTCACAAGACTTGATGTTTTACTGTTGAAAGATTACTGTTCATTATCGATTACATATTTCTTTTTAGGTTGAAGTCTTTTCTTTTATCCAAATCTCAGTTCTTTTATACCTTTTAATGAATTACTTTTCAAAATTATTTTCAAATAATTTTTTTAATTTGTTTTATTATTCTCAAACTAATTACTTTATATTAATCTTTTTATCTTAATTTGGAAAATACTCTTTTAAGAATAATTTGATCTTTCAATTATATTTTATCTAAAGAGTATCAAAATAAAAATTATGTATTAAAAAATGATAATAATACACTAATTAAATTAACTCTTCCCATAATTAAAAGCATTAATAATGTAATGAATTTGACCAAAAAATAAATATAAATCCTTAAGACACTTATTTATCTTCGAGAACCGTATCTTTTGTATAGTGACATGCTAAACAATAGTACTAAACTAAATTTAAAATAAATAAATAAATAAACAACAAAGTGACCATAAATATCGGCCAAAAATTGGAGAAAGCAACAAAATTATGAAGTAGAAGATAACCCAAGCATTTAACGGTCGATATGTTGATTCAGTTTACTTAAAGACGCACTAGTTCTAACATCATTCCGGAAAAAGCATACAAATAGAACATAAAAGCCTAATAATTAAGTAGTGAGCTCCATGATGGCACCAACAATATCCCCGTTGTGAGTCTTGAGAGCCTTGACGGCCTTGCTTCTTGACACTCCTGCCTGTGTCATCACCAAATCAATGTCATGGAGCTCAACGCCAGTTTCATCAACCTCCTCCTCTTCTTCAGGCTGTGCTCCTGCAGCTGCAGCATCTTGATCTTGTTTTGCCATCACAGATCCCATATCTGGCATCCTGAACTGTTGAGCAGCCTGCGTCTGCAACTGCGAGCTCAAGTCCTCTATTTTTGCCTCCCCAAATATGACATAGGTCTCAGAATTTGGACTCTTGAAGACATCAGGTTTTGAGATGAAAAAGAGAATCTAATGCATAAAAAAAGGTGGTTAAAAGTCATTCATCTTCCAAATGGATCACAGAAGAGAACCATTAGCAACAAATAATGACTCACATTTTTTGTTCTTTTTATCGTGACCCTACTGACGCCAGTAACAGGTTTTAGCCCCAGCTTCAACATAGCTTTTCGACTCTTCTTCTCACTTCTGCTTTGCTTTGAACCCTCAGTAGCACCTGCATCTCAAAGTTCGATAAAACAGAGTTATGAACAAGATCAACAGATAACAAGCTAAACAAATGTAATACAGCATAGGTATGGCTGCTGCAACAAAGTGCACAGATACATTGTTATTTTCTCTAGGTGAAGCCCTTCATTCCAGAGCTTTGTGACAGTTATTTACATGCCAATATTGCAACTACTATAGAGTACGCCATTTTTCAAGTAAGAAAATTCACTATATAAGAATCATAAGCACAGAACCCCAAACATTATATTGGTGGTAGAAGAAAGAGCTCGGTGATCAGAATCATTGTTCTGAATCTCGAATAGGCGTCATCCCTATTCCCAATTCAGGTGCTGCTGCTTCAATGAGGCCCTCATAATGGGTAAATGTTTCCAGTTTAGGCATGGCATTTAGTACCTAGTTGATTTGTGATGAATATAGGAAAATAAAAAACAAAAACTAAATCCAACTATCGACCCACAATCTCTAATAAAATACTCCATGTTTAAAATATAGTCATCAATCGTTGGGAAGTGACCAACTTAGGATATAGTAGATTGAACCTCTATTTTATTTTGACCATGAAAGTTATGCTTGAGTAATTAATTTATGGGGAAAATTAATGCAAGATAGTCAAATATGTTAATGATTTCTTTTTAATATTAATGTTATTTTGTCATATCAGAGAATTAAATTCAAAAGCATAAATCAGAGCACATTTTGCTTAAGTCATTATTGTTAAAATTCTGTGAAATACATTAAATGATTATGTTGCCAATCATACACATTCTGTAATTTGGACATTAGCAACAATTGAATCTAGCTCATATTTCAAGTCTAAGCACATAAAATGCCAATCAATCAAGCTCGGAATTTTTCCTAGTCTCCTTTTAATTCCTTTTGTTTCCTGCTATGCAATGCGCAGACAATAAATGTATGAGACAGCCATTGTTAATTAAAGCATAAAACAATGCTTTTACTAGACAACAAAAAACAATCATCAAAGACTAACAGCCAATCCACAGATAAATATAAAGAAACAATTTTTCTAACCTCTACATATTTCACATGATAAGATTGATATAGTATGAAAATTGTAGAATTCAATACGATTCAAAGCATTAATACTATGTTACAATTTTCAATAAAAACTTCCTATATATAATTTCTTATCATGTGCCATGTTAAACAGGTTAGAAAAATGATCTAGAAACAATAGCCAAAAGATGAATCAGACATTGACCTTGAAAATTAACTGTCAGTCAACAACTACTATGTCTTATTAAGGCCGCTCCAATATTATAATATTAAGCAAAGCTACATGCCCGTTCGTTTAAAATTAGGAGGCATCATAATTCATCTAACATGAGTTAGATCTCATGGGTACATACAGAACTCTAGGCAAACCCTAGAAAAAAGCACTAGCAAATGGAAATGGAGTAATCAAGGTTGATAATAAATAAATATGAAATAGGGATTTTATTAGGTTAAAAATAAACAAAGGATAAAGTGAATAAATGGAACCTTGAGCGCCATCATCCTTGTCATCTTCATCGTCGTCGTCGTCGTCGTCATCCTCATCCGCTTCGTCCTTGTCATCATCCTTGACGTCCTCAACAACGGGAGCATCGTCTTCCTGAAAAAAGCAGGCAGCATCATGCACGCAAATGAGAAACAAAACCGAAAATAGAAATGAATCAAAGCAATTGATAGAGAAAACAGAATCTAGTGTTTCAATACTAATAGTAGCAATAAGAGGAAAGAACCTGGGGTTGAGATTTCTTCTTGTGGGTAGTGTCATCAACAGAGGGAACTTGTTGCTCGGCATCGACCTCAGGGGAAGCATCAACAACGGGACCTGGAGACATGGCTTGTGAGGATTGGAATTGGGGCTTCTTCACTCACTCCCTCGCTCACTCAGTTTAGATAATAAGGATAACACTCTTTCCCTACTTATTCTGCCTCAAGGGTTTTCATCATTTATTGGGCCATCTCACCTTTGGGCCCATTTAATTTCTTTTTCGTAACTACGTGGAAGTATTCATTAAGGTTTGCAGAGATGAATGGGTGGGTCTGCACTCGGCAAAAAATTGACAATAAAATCTATTTTAGCTTTGTTCAGTGAAACCTTAAAAAATAAAATCTTATAATTTCAAATATTTCTTTTTTAAAAATTTCAGTTAAATTTAAAATTATATCTTACAGTTATGGAACATTTGTAATTTTATATCTAATATTTAATTATATTTTGTTTCGGTTTTCATCAATTATCCCTTATGGAATGATTAGAGGAGTCGTTTCCTTCCGTTATATTTTGATTCAATTGTACACGGAAATATGGCATTCTTAGTACCTGACTTGCATTGGCACAAACAAGTATGTATTCCGTTTTTTATATCACCCAAATTTTACTTCATCATTATCGTACCTATTTTGTTTTAGCTTTTTTCCCCATGATTGTTTTAGAGAAAGCTTAATATTTGCTTCATCCTCGGAGTTAAACCTCATTTGTATTTTAGAGAAATGTAACACTTAATTTATAAATTAATTAATTTTTAAAATTATTTTTAACTTTATAAATCAATTATAAAAAAGCATATATTAATCTTTCCTCTTCTTTCCTATTCAATACCCCCCTGCTGCTGGCTCCTGCAAAGAACGATTCATCATATCCACTTCGGAGTTAAATCATATAAAGACTTTGGCAGGTGATGTATGACACAGCATAGTTAGTAACGGCACTAAACATCAGCATCCATCTTGGGGGTGCCTATGTTTAATGAATTGAAGTTTACTTGTGAGTAAAAGCAAGTAACTTGAAGAATCTGAAATAATATACCCTAATAGATCCAGGAGTACCACAGTTCGTTCATGCCCGAAATTTCAAATTCCCCAATCCAAAGCCAGAAAGAAGATACTGTGTCCCGGTGCCCCATGCCTTTCTAAACAAAATGCTTGGCATGATTTGTTACTTATCTATATACTATAGTACCCACAAAAAATGTCAAAATTCTAAGTGTGAATTTGACGGCTTACTATATTACACATATTCTAAGCGTAGGGTCCAAAATACCATTTAACACTGTCAGTAGCATTGTAGCAATCATCGTGAACGGTTAAGGACTATTTTCTTCTGATACTTCAGTAACCAGCACTCTCTGCATCGCAATGCCGGGCAATGGTCCAGTACTTACATGGGGCAGCCGAATCACAAACATAACAGTAGCACTGTGCATAGTAAAAAGATTAATTATTGTTACAATTACGAGGTAATGTGGTGGTGGTGGAATCCAATACCGAAAAACTGATCATAGTATATATAAGGTAGTAAGAAGTTCCGCTACCTTTGCACAATAGTTCTCATGAGGCGTTGTCTTGAATGGAAATTTGACACACAGATGTCTTGAGTGCGGGTAATCCCTGCAAGCAACCTATATAATACCACATCTTTAATCACAATAATTCCAAAATATTGGGATTTGGAACGCATGGCAAGGGATTGTGCCATTGTCCAACGACAAATCAACTTTAATTTATAAAACGTTCTTTATCTCTTTTTGTATGAAATCATTCATCATATTTATCATTTTTCTCTCTTCTATTCTCATTTCTCCCATTGTATAGACACTGCACAAACATTTTCCATAACAAAGATGACACTAAATTACACTATTTTAATGAAACTATAAAAAGAAGAACAACAAAGTGATTCCAACAAACTGTAAAGAGATGGATCTTCTTTTTTTGCCCCACTTACGCTGTAAAGAGTGCAGCACACCAAAATAACCAACAAATCAAATGGATTTTATCAAAGTCAAGACCTTTGAAAGAAAAGGTTGATGAAATGAATGCAAGTGTTGGTGTGCTAGTGGGTACAATAACCAATAGCGAAAACGGTGAGAAGGGGTTGTACCTGGCCCTTTTCAGCAATGACGAAGAGATCATCGGCATCGTGGAGGTTAGCAGGAGCATCTGACAAAAGGGGAACAGGGTCGGAAGGATCAAATCCTAGGATGAAGCAATCCTCATTTTCCTCGAAACGCCTCATGTCGGTTATTTTATTGAGACAAGCTATGGCCCTGATGGGGCTGTCGTCTTGCGGTTGTGGGGAAGAAAGAGAGAGGGGAGTTCTTAGAAGGGTCTTTGTCTTCCTCACTTTGCTGTTTGTTTTCATGTTACTTTCTTCTGTTGGACGACCCAACCAAAACGGTGCAACACACCCCGATTTAATAGCACATCGAATTTAGATATTAAAATTTCAAATTTCTCAATATGACCGTTTTTTTTTGTCAGATAATTGTTCGTTTCCTAGTCAAATCCATTTAAGATAATTACTGCAGTATTATTTTTATTATATATAAGACACCTTTTCACAATAAATAGAAAGTTCTAACTTTGGTTATCAACACTGATATCAAACATTTAAAACCGTTAGTTTTTTATTCAAAATTGTTTATTATATTTTTAAGAATATAATAGAAATACAATGAGAATGTAAAAACTTTTTATGCTATTATCTAATTAACTGTGATGTCAATATAATTATTGATTTTCATAAAATTTGTGTATTCTAATTGATTTGCAAAATATTTATATCAACACTGCATTAAAATAAACTATTTTTAGTATAATATATATTTTATATCAATAAAAATTTCATTTTTAATATTTAAAACTAATTTTAAAGATTGATTTTAGTAAAATTAATAATTAAATAAAATTTTTATACTATTTTTCTCAATAAAAAATATGTGAAATCGTTTGTCAAAGACCTAAGTGTCACAATGGATTTACGTCAACTTGGACTCGTTTAATATGAGATTGGATAAGTATTTATAAATTTGCATTTCCATGAACTTTATTTTTGTAAAATTAATTTTACTTAAAAGTAAATTTAAAGTAATATAATTTTTATTCATAAATATCTTAAAAGTAAGTTTTCAGTAGAACTCATAATAGATTTTTTAAACTCAATACAAAATTACAATTTTATTATTAATTCATACACAAAGTTAAAAATAAAATCAACTATATTCCATGGACCATGGTAATTAAATATCAACTTTTTTAAAAATTTATGTTATTATACAATAAATGTAATTACGTCAGAATTAAATGTAACACCAAAATATCCTTACTTAATAAAGCCAGACCAAAGTTTTTTAAAAATTCTATTTAGTTTAAAAGGTTAAATTTCATGTTGTCTAAAAAAATTATTATAATTATCTATAATAATAACAACAACAATAAAAATATAATAAATATTTATTTTTTAAAAAGACTTTATTTCACTAATGTTTAGGCTACTACCTTATTTGGAACAACTTTTTTTTTAGTCATTTGAAAAGTTTTGGTATAAAGTAAATTATTAAAGAAAAAGATATTCAAAGAAAACAACAAACCTTAAAAAAAACTCAGTAGAATAAATAAATAAAGAGAAATATTAAGAACACACTATCAAACACAATTTTTTAAATATCTTTTTAATTATTAGTTAAAATTTATTAAAAATTTTAAAAATATAAAAAAGTATTAAATTAAGAAAAAATAATATAATACACATAATTTTTGTAATTTTTAATAAATTTTAATCTTGTTAAAAAAAATACATTGTTATTATTCTTCGTCATAAGTTAAATTTGCACATTAAATTAATACTCAAGCTAAATTTAATTTTTACAAAATTTAACTTAACTCAAATTTATTTTTATTTGCTCACACATTAACATAATTATGTGTTTTTCTCATTTTATATATAAATTTTTAAAATTATTATATATTTCAAATTCATCACGAATTATCAAATTAAATATATATATATATATATATATATATTTTGCATAAAAATTTTATTTTTAAATAACATAACTATTATTTTTATCAAATTAAATATATATTTAGCAATTTTAATTTATTTAAATAAATACAAATTCATATTTTTTTTAATATTATTAGCTATAATTTATATGTTAAATTCATTTTACAAATTTGTTAATAAATTTTGAAAAATATATGAAGTTGTGTATTAAGGTAAGTAATTTAGGGTTGAGCCCGTGAATGGTATAACATGAACTACAATGGAGTCGGCGCTTCCAATGATCATCTGTGACCCGATAAAAAGAAAAGAAAAATTCATAACATCACATATCTGTTTCCAAAATGCATACTTACATATATGATTCTACACTACACTCAAAAAACAAAATCACAAATTGTCGTGTCCCATAACTCCAATTCCCTTCCATGCACATTCAAGAACCCAACAATTTAAGGAAACTATTTGCAGGTAATTTCTTCATACTCCTCTGCTTCTTCCAGTATTCAGTGCTATCTGCATCATAGTGAGGGAGTGTAGGTTGGGTCCAATACTCACAAAGGGCAGCTGAATCACATACATAACAATAACACTGCAACCAACCAAAGATATTTCAAAACAACTTCGCAAGTGGCAAGGCATAATAAAGACAGCACCTCCCATCATTACCATTTCACAGTAGTTTTGATGAGATGTTGTAGTGAACGAAAATTTAAGACAGCGATATCTTGAATGTGGATAATCTCTGCAAGCTACCTTTAAATAAATTTTTGAAAACTATATTCACCGTTACAAGTTAGAACAAAGTTGTAGGAATAGTATGTGTTAGAGATAAGAGTCAATGAGTCTGTTAGATGTGTGATTAGTGAGTTTGTTAGTCTTTGGTTAACTCAAGTTTGAAATGTTTGCATCTATATATTGATGTATCTCAACAATTGTAAATAAGATGATAATAATGAAATCATTCAATTTCATTCTTTTGCATTCTCACTTTCAAATCATGCTTCTTCTGTAAAACTATATATGGTATCAGCAGCTTTTGTTGAATAGCCATGGCTTCCACGACTTCACAATTAAATCCTCAAACCTTTACAACTCCAATTTCAATAAAATTGGATGACGAAAATTACTTGATCTAGAAGCAACAGGTTCTTGCGACGATTAAGGGGCTAAAACTCAATAAGTATACACAGGGAGATGACATTCTTGCAAAGTTTAAATCAAAAGAATCAGTGGATCAATCAATGAAGACTTTCTGAACTACAATCAACAGGATCAATTGCTGGTAGCATGGCTTTTGGCATCGATGACAACTCCGGTCCTCACAAAGATGGTGGGTTTGGATCACTCCTTTGAAATCTGGAAAAGGCTAGAAAGCTATTTTGCATCACAAACATGTGCTAAAGTCAAGAAACTAAAATTACAACTTAGTATGATCGAGAAACAAAAATCGATTGTTGAATATCTTCTTGAAATAAAGAAAATTGTAGATTCTTTAGCAGCAATAGGTTCTACAATTTCTGAAGAAGATCATATTGAAGCTATACTTGATGGGTTACATGAAGAATTTGATTCGTTTGTTACCTCTATCACATCATGATTGGATCCTTACACTGTTGATGATATTGAAGCTCTTTTGATGGCTCAAGAAGAACGGTTTGAAAAGCATAAGAAAACAGAAACTACCCTAGTTCATGCGAATGCTGCTTCTGGACCACAATTTTATAATTCCGGATTCAATCGCAGTAAAGATCAACATCAAAGAGGTGGTTACAATAATAGAAGTAGTAGAAGTTACCATCGAGGTGGTAGATCTTATGGTGGCAGAGGCTATGGAAGACAGAATTGGAGTCAAAACAATGTAAATCCATAGGGACAACAAAAATCACAATGTCAGATTTGTGGAAAAATTGGCCACTTAGCTGTTGAGTGTTGGCATAGATTCAATCAGGAGTATCAAGGTCCTCCACAAGCTCACAACACTCAATTCTCCCAACAAGGTCCTCAACTTGGTGATCAAGGTTACATTGCGACACCTTCCACTCTTGTTGATCCTCTTTGGTATCCGGATAGTGGAGCATCTCACCACATCACTCATGATGATTTCAATTTGACCACCAAATCAGAATATCAAGGTACTGAAAGAGTAAGGATAGGTAATGGTACAGGCTTAAACATTAAACATGTTGGATACTATAAATTTTATAGATCTTTGTCTAATCATCTACTAATTTTGAATCAATTACTTCATGTTCCTACCATTACTAAGAATCTGCTTAGTGTTAACAAGTTTGCCAAAGATAATCATGTTTTCTTTGAGTTTCATCCTAATGTATGCAATAAAACTCAGGACATCCTCCAAGGCAAAGCAACTAAAGATGGACTCTATATTTTTTCACCATTCAAACATGCTAGTTCCTATTCTGCATATTCAACTGTTACAGATTCTTTAAAAAGCAATCTTGAGCTATGGCATACAAGACTTGGCCATCCTTCTGTCAAAGTTGTTAAATCTGTTTTTCAATCTTGTAATATGTCAACTAGTCAGTTTCCTATTTCTCTGAGTTGTCAGTCTTGTTGTATGGGAAAAGCACATCGGCTTCCTTTCATTAGGTCTAAAACAATATATTCTCGTCCTCTTGAGTTAGTTTTTTCTGATATATGGGGACCTGCCCCTATCCCTTCTACTAATGGTGCAAAATACTACATTGTATTCCTTGATGCTTTCTCAAAGTATTCATGCATATACTTGTTGCAATATAAATCTCAAGCTTTTACAACTTTTCTTCAGTTTAAATCTCTTGCTGAAACTCAACTTGGCACTAAACTTAAAGCCATTCAAACTGATAATGCAAAGGAATACTTAAAATTCATTCCTTATCTTATTGAACATGACATTCAACATAGGTTGACATGCCCTCACACACATCAGCAGAATGGAAGTCCTAAAAGAAAACACAAGCATATTACTGAAACAGGTCTTACACTCTTAGCTGAAGCCTCCTTACCCTTAAAATTTTGGGGTGAAGCATTCATTACTGCCACCACTCTCATTAACTATATGCCTACACCAGTTTTACATGATCATAGTCCTTATGAAACCTTATTTCACAAGCCACCAGACTATCAATCCCTAAGAATATTTGGATGTGCATGTTATCCTTTGATGAGACCTTATAACAAACACAAGTTTGATTTTAAATCTCATATGTGTCTTTTCTTAGGGTACAATAGTCAACATAAAGGCTACAAGTGTCTCTCTCCCTCTGGTAAGTGTTTTATATCCAGAAATGTAAACTTCTATGAGTCCATTTTTCCTTATAAACTTCCTAATAATCATTTTCTTTCTAATTCATCCA